CCCCCTCCCTATGGTGCCCGCCTGTTAATTTATTGATCCGAGGCGGCCATCGGCAAACCTTGTAGAACAACCACAGGTTTGGTGACAACTGGGTGACAACTGGGAGCCTGAATCCGGAGGAAGTCTCAGGTGGGACCCTCGTCTGTGAGTGGATTGCAAAGAAGCTTCGAGCGGGAACCCCCTCCCTACTTTTGGTGCCCGCCTGTTAATTTATTGATCCGAGGCGGCCATCGGCAAACCTTGTAGAAAAAAACATAGGTTTGGTGACAACTGGGAGCCTGAATCCGGAGGAAGTCTCAGGTGGGACCCTCGTCTGTGAGTGGATTGCAAAGAAACTTCGAGCGGGAGCCCCCTCCCTATGGTGCCCGCCTGTTAATTTATTGATCCGAGGCGGCCATCGGCAAACCTTGTAGAAAAACCACAGGTTTGGTGACAACTGGGAGCCTGCATCCGGAGGAAGTTTCAGGTGGGACCCTCGCCTGTGAGAGGATTGCAAAGAACCTTCGAGCGGGAGCCCCCTCCCTATGGTGCCCGCCTGTTAATTCATTGATCCGAGGCGGCCATCGGCAAACCTTGTAGGAAAAACACAGGTTTGGTGACGCCTGGGCGCTTGAATACCGAGCAGTCTCGAGCGGGAGCCTCGTTTCTGAGTGGACTGCGAAGAAGTCTCGAGAGGGAGCACCCTCCCTATAGGCTATAGGGCTCGCACCTCATGTTACTATCCGAGGCGGTCATCGGCAAACCATGCAAACCGAGCGTGAGCCTTCTGAATGCTTCCGACGGCCACAAGAGATTCGAGGAAGCTTCAGGAGCCCCCGGACCCAGGAAACACCACAAGCCCCAGGAGGCCCCAGAGCGACCCGGAGGCCTTAGGATGCCCCAGGAGCCCCCCAGGAGGCCCAGGAGGCCCCGTGAGGTTCCAGGGTGAAGCAGCATGCACTGCGATTGCATACGGGCTGTTGGCGAGTGCGCTTCCGTCCGTGTGGACGATGAGGCGTCAGGCCAGCGGCCCGTCTACTGAGGCTACGAGCTCTGACGAACTCGACAGCTCGCCTAAGAGAAGCACCCTGGGGCCCGGGAGGCCCCGGCGGGGAGGCCCCGGAAGGCTCCAGGAGGCCCCAGGAAGCTCCAAGAAGCAAGAGCAGACCCCAGGAGGCCCCAGGAGGAGGCAGCAGGCCCAAGGAGGAGGCAGGAGGAAGAGGAGGAGGCAGGACAAGCAGGAGGAGGATGAGGAGGATGAGGATGAGGATGAGGATGAGGATGAGGATGAGGATGAGGAGGAGGAGGAGGAGGAGGAGGAGGAGGAGGAGGAGGAGGAGGAGGAGGAAGAGGACGAGTAGGACGAGGAGGAGGAGTAGGAGGCAGAAAGAGGAGGAGGAGTAGGAGGAGGCAGAAGGATGAGGCAGGATAATGAGGCAAGGGGAACAGGCAGGAGGAGAAGGATGAGGCAGAAGGGGTCAGGAGAAGGGAGCAGGAGGAGCTCCCCTGCCAAGCTAAACCAATTCTCATGCGGGGTCCTACCGTCGGAGAAATTGGTGTAGCCGCGCGAGCCCGCCGCCGTTCCCGCAAGAGCAAGGAAAAAAGGCATGCCCGAGCACCAACTACACAAAGATTTCCCAGTATTTGCATGGAGTTCTGAGGCCTCACTATGGCCCCAAGATGGTCCAAAAAGGGACCAAGAGGCCTCCAAGACAGCCGCAAGAGCGTCTTAGAGCGCCCCAAGAGCGCCCCAAGAGCGCCCCGAGAAGCGATTTTGATGGCTCTTGAGGGGGGACGTCGGTATACAACCCTCCTCCTTTGATTGATGGCCTCCACGATGGCTCCAAGAAGCCGTCCAAGGCTCCCAAGAGGCCTCGAAGAGGCCCCTCATCGGCCCCCAAGAGGCACCCCGTAGCCATTCCGGCTCAAGCCATACTCGACGGGGGCAATTCGTTTAACCGCACCTTCCTGAGACTCCCAGCATCCCGCAATGCATTGCGCTGCCGAACTGATGCAATAGCACTCTTTCGGCTCACCGTCCTGCTCGTCACCGCTGCCGTGCCTGCCGTAGCTCTGAAGACAGAGACAGGCGATTCCCTCGAGGCACGCCTCGACATCGCAATCCACCGCCGCGTGAAATTCCGATGGCGCACAGACGGGTGCCACTGAGGAGGAGCCCCTGGGAGGAGGCTCGGAGGTGTCGGTGACGTTCTCCCCGCAGGAGCGCGCCGCCCTGCATGCCTCCAAGTTCGACAAGGAGTTCGTGGTGGACCTCGGCATGTCTGATGTCCTCAAGGAGAAGAAATCGGTCGGCGTCGTGCTGAACCTGGACACTGATTTCGAGCCCGTGTCTGTCAAGAAGGTCAAAAAGACGGGCATCCTCGAAGCTTGGAACAGGCTGCATCCAGACAAGGCCGTCATGGTCGGCGACGAAATCATGAAGGTGAATGATATAATGTGGCACCGTAATGCAGGAACGTTCGCGAACCGCATCAAGGGCCAGTTTTTGGCATCCAGGGCCCAGTTGCCTGGCGCAAGGAACGTCCTGACTTTAACTATCCAGCGCCCCAGGAAGAATAAGGAGCACCGTGCCCAATCACAGCGCGAAGATCTGCGCAATCAGTTGTATTCGAAAGATTTCGTAGCTGAGATTCCTCTCAAAGGCGTGCTCCCTGGTGCCTCACTAACCAGGCCATTGGATGGAAGTTGAATGTGACGGTGGACTGGATACCAATCTCCATCGAGAAAATGCGCAACACTGGTCTTGTGGCCAGGTGCAACAAGGTACACCCCGACGCGAAGATACTCGCCGGCGACGAGATCCTCCAGGTGAACCACATCGGTTGGCATCACAATTCTAAGATCTTTGAAGATCGCCTCGAGGCACAGTTCACAGCTGCGCGAAAGTCGGAGCTCGCTGGGACTCCCGGCTATGAAAATGTCCTCAAGCTCAGCATCCGGAGGCCGAGGTCGGTGAATGACACGCCGGAGGAACAGGTGTACACGAAGCAGTACTCCGTCCAGCTCGCTCTGACACACGCTTGTCCGTTGGGCTGGCACCTCAACAAAAGCAGTGACGCGGAACCAATCGTCGTCGAACAAACCGGACGGGCTATCCTTCTGGATGCTTACAACAAAGCACATCCTAATGCCATGGTGCGTGTCGGCGATACCATCCTGAAGTTGAATGACGTCCTGTGGCATGGCAATACCAAGAAGTTCGCCGACCGCATCGACAAGGAATTGAACATCTCGCGCCCTTACAGGGCCCAGATGCCTGGCAACAAAGCATTCCATCTTGTCATGCAAAGGCGTCTGGTCCAGCCGATCATGAAAGAGTGGACCGTCACGCTGCCCGCTGGCGAGGGACAGATTTTGTGTTGGCAGCTGAGTCACAGCGAGGAGGAGTTTCCACTTACTGTCTCTAAGGCCCGCAGCAACGGCGTGGTGTGCGAGCACAACCAGGCGCACCCAGACTCTAAGATCTTGCCTGGAGACGTTATTGTCAAGGTGAACAGTGTCCTGTGGCGGGCGACAAGACTCGTCCTCATTCGAGAAGCGCCCAAACGAGCAGTATTCCAAATCAAAGGCAACTGGTAACATATCACTTTTCCTGAGGAGGCGTGTTGGAGTTACGGACGCCTTCGAGGAGGACAAGGGCTGGCCATTCTCTAATGAATTCTACATTCGGCTGCCGGTAGTGAACGGTCAGATGATGGGCTGGCACCTTAGCTCGGACGACGAGACGGCCCCAATTACGGTCGAAAAGATTAGAAATGTGGGTGTGGTGCACGACTGGAACAAGCAGAATCCGTTTACCGACATCCAGGTCGGCGATCACATTGCCAAGGTGAACAGCGTTCTCTGGCACGGCAATGCCGAGCAGTTCTTGGAGCGCGTAAACCTTCAGCTGGAGGCTGCTCGCAAGGAAAAGGGAAAGCCGTTCGTGACGGTTCTCGTGCAGAGGCCTTGGCGCGTCACAACAACGTTGCCGGAAAACGCGGGCGCCGGCAAGGATGTTGTCGGCGGCGGCGACGACGCCGAGACGGGCATCGTCGAATGAAGTAAAGTAGATAGCATTCAGGCGATTATTATCACAATCTAAATCTGTTGTTGAAAAGCTTCGCGAATCAAAATGCCGACACCACCACTGAACTGATTGATGTATGTCGAATGGTACAGAACACCAGGCAGCACACTGTCATCCAACGTGCTGTTGCGCTCGGGCGTCTCCCGAGTCTCCGCAAGGATCATAAAGTCATGGGCAGTAGCAGTATCCAGAGCTCTCTTGCGAGTATCCCCGCGGCCGCATGCGAAAAGGGACTCGCAGTTCCAAGCCGCTCCCCGCAGTGGCCCGGCGAACGGTGCAGGTAAAAACGGAGCGGAGCGGCGCTGGGCTCTCCGTCTGGAGGAGGCGGCCCACGAACTCGGCGGAGGAAAGCAGGAGGAATAATAGGTCCTTGATGATGACCCTCGGGGGGAAGCGGATCTGCCGTCATCACGTCCTGTTGGGCTGTTTTCGATTCAGGGTGGCGTGGCCCCCGGACTCCCCGGCACGATGTGCGAGATGGGCAGCAAGCGGGCGTGTGCGGTGTCTCCCTCGCGCCTCTGAAAAAAAAAAGTAGTAAAAGGTCCTTGATGATGACGGCCGTAACCAGGTACTGGTTCGGAGGCAGATCCCCAAAGTACATGCTGCAGTAACCCCTATTCCTGCAAGCCCATTTCGCCACGCCGTTGCTTGATGATGTCCTCGCCGGAAAAGCCGAGATTGAGCTTAGAAGTGTCGATCACAGATACCTTGAACTCCTCCCGGTGCCGGTCCCACTCTCCCACCCTCGTCTTGTCCATCCAGACTATGCCCCTGGCGTGCGAACGGTCTACTCGTTCAGCCACCCCGGGGTGAGCTTCAGGATGCGTCTTTAACTCCTTCACCAACGTAGCCACCGACGATTCCTTCTTGCGTGTGATCTCGTCCTTCTCGTCGTTCGCCCACAATCTGCGGCCATTCACCATAATATCCCCCTTCTCCTTGAGATTCGTCAAAAAATATGTTTTGCCCTGGGCGCTCTTGAACCTGATGAAACCTATGCTGCTCCGACGGCTCCGGACCAAGATCTCCTCGGAGCCCTCCACGTTGCCGTCCGTATCCCCGTAGCCTGCTTTGATTCCATCTTGGATCTCTGAGCCCATCGAGTCCCGCTCGAAACCCCCGATCACCATTGTGCGCTCGAGCTCCTTCCCGGACTTCTCAGCAGGCGCCCTCATCCCTGGACCCCAGCTGCCTGCCCTTGGCGTAGAACCTCCGGTCTTCCGCAAGACCTCCGCCACCAACTCGGGCAACTCCTCCTCCTTAACCAGCCCTCCCAAATCCTTCAAGAACGCCTCCTTCGTCCACTCCTCCGTCAATTGGTCCCTCAACATGTCCTCCACCTCCTTCCTGGTAATGTACAACTCCTCCAGGTCGTTCCGGATGCCCTCAACCTCCATCTCCATGTTATCTACTTTCTTTTGAGCTTCCTCTGCCGCTCTCCTTGCATCCTGTGCCTCGATCCTCGCCTGGTCGATCATGCCTTTGACGCCTGCCAGGTCGGACGTGATACCTGCGAGCTGCGTCGAAAGGCGGGACTCGAAATCCTGAAACCATGGTGGTGGACCGGCTGCGACCATGATCCCGTCCATTGCGTCACTTGCTTTAGCCTCCGATCCCTCCAGCTCATCCTCCAACTTCTTCTGTCTCTCAGGTGTCGATCCGGTACGGTCACCAGAGCGCTTCCCTTTATCTTGAGGTGGAAGGAGGTAGTGGTGGAAGGCAGGATCATATGTCTGAAGTTAAGTGGCCCTGACAGGGTGCTGCACATCTTCGGTGTTTATCTCGATCTGGCGAACCACTGCTCTGAGGTGTGCCACATCTGCGCTATGGGGAATGCAATCGACCCCCAGGCCCACACAATTATTGCGGGAGATTTCAACTTTGTCCATGTGGCGTCTGACCGTTTCTTGAAATCTGATGGTGTCTGGTCTCTTGGCGGGGACCTTCCTGCAGCCAGGGCTTGGGAGGAGCAGTGGGCCGAAGAGTACTTCACATGTGAAGCGGGTATTGTTTTCTCGCGTATTGAGCGTGTGTATTCCTCCCTGTACCCTTCTGTCATCCACACTCGGGCCGTGCAGGGCCATGTATTGTATCGTAGGCCTGATTTATCTTCACATCGACCCGTGTCTTTTGCTTTGACATGCAGGCAGGAGGCCTCCATCTTCCAAGTGCCCAGCTGGATTTATTCACACGAGCTTTTCTGTCAGGAGGTTTTCGCCGACTTCCAGTTCGAATCATTAAGGTGTTCAGGTTATGGTTTTGCCAAGCTGAGCTTGTTCAAACACGCAGTGAAGAAAGCTGCCAGGTACACGAGGAAAATGGTCCAGAGCGCTCCAGCATCCAGCACGGAAGGCAAACTTTCGGCATTCATCGGTTTTCTCAGAGCGTTGGGCCGCAATGACTGGAATGATGCTTTTCGCATACAGGCTGCGTGTCCTCGTCTTCGGTCCGTCCGGGCCGACCGGGGCGCTGTAGCTACGCAGGAATACAAGGACTTACTGTCCCATGTACATGAGTTCGGGCACGTTTCCTTCAAAGAGCGCGTGGACGAGCTGAAACGGCTGCGCGACGAACTGCCGGAGTTTGGTACAAGCAGAGGAAAGAGAGCATCTTTTCTTCTCTTCGGAGGCTACTTCCTGGCGCTACTGGCAGTCTTTCGGCCGTCCAGGCACGCAGCGGAGGCATATCATCATAACCGCAAGATATCGCTTCGGAGCTGACTGCATACTGGCAACCCGCTTTCGACCACAAGCATACCAGTGCTTCGCGGCGTCGCCAATGGTTCGACCAGCTCACAGATAAGCTCCGCGTGGACTTGGCGGACCCCCTGCCGACGCTGGAGGACGTGCGGCACGTTTTTTTCGCTCCTGCCCAAGTTTGCGCGTGGTCGGGATGGTATACCGTTTGCTGTCTATTCAAGGTTTGCCGATATCCTCGTACTTGTGTTTCTCGACATCGTGATTGGCATGATCAACGGTACTGTCGTGCCGCCGCACGACTTCAATAGGGCATTTCTTATTTGTCATCCAAAAGGCCGCGGCGACCCGCTCGAGGGAGTGGAAGTGCACGATCCTGCCAGTACCCGTCCGCTGTCGATTGTCGACGCTTCTAACAGAAACATTGCCTCGATCTTCCGCGTGGCGCTCGAAAGGAAGGTTGCTCACTAGGTGTCGGCATCCCAGACTGGCTTCTGCCAGGCAGGCAGATGCTTCGCAACGTGCTCGACGTGGACTTCGCTGCGCAGAAGATCAGCATATCGTCGCGACGGGGCGCCATCGTGCTGTTCGGCTTCAAGGTCGCGTTCCCCAGTCTGTCTCACGACTACATGTGGGAAGTGGTGGTGGCTATCGGGTTGCGGGCTTGCTATGTCGACGCGCTGCGCTTGTTCTACACGGGCAACAAGCATTGGATCAGGATCGGCAGATGTATTTTTGAAAGCGTGGATGTGCGCAGTGGGGTGCGCCAGGGGTGCCCGTTATCTCCGTTGCAATTTGTACTCTGTGCTGATATTGTGTTTCGCCGCATATTCTTGCACTCGGGTGCTGGGGAACTTGTCCGTGCGTTTGCGGACGATACTGCGGTGGTGGTGAGCGATTATACAATTTCTTTCCCTTGTATCGGCAGGGCGTTCCTCGAGTATGCTAGTATATCAGGCCTACAGCTCAACGTCGAATTACTCCGACGGAAGGACCCCACATGATAATCTGTTTTGCGTGCCCTTCTTCCTTTCCTCCTGGCCATGGCAAACACCCTCCTCTCGCCCTCTCCTCTGCTCTCTCTTTTCCCTCCTTCTTCTATTTCTCCCTTCCCCCTCCGTCTACCTCCCCCTCCTCCTTCTCCACCTCCTCCTTATCATCGCCCTCCCCCATACCCTCCCCCTCCTCATCTTCCTCCTGCCGCTTCTCTACGTGCACCTCCCCCTCCCCCTGGGCGGGGCAAGCATGTCGATGTTCCTCGGCGCCGTCGCCGCCTCGGCCAGCACTGGACTGGCGCGTTCTCTGATGGCCGCGTCGCGCAGCCGTTGGGGCAACCCCGCGGGCCAGGCTGTCGGGACAACCCCGCGAGCCGTTGGCGCGCAAAACCAAACCGTTGGGACAACCCCGCGGGCTTCGAGCGGGGCGCAGCCACGCTCAGGCGGGAGGCGGCACGAAACCCAGCTTTGCCGCGAGCTGGTCCGCCTCCGCCCTGGACAAAACCGCTCTCTTGTCGAACCTCAGCAACGCCTTCCGCAAGGACGCCGGCGGCCCTCGCTCCAGGAACTCCCGCGGCGGCGGCCGCAGGATCAGCATGTTCCGCATGCACGTGGCGCGGGAGAACATGACGTAGAGGTGCAGCCACCACCGCTCATCCGACATGCCCGTGCGGCCAGCGTCCTCGTCTCTCGCGCAGTCGATGATGACGCCCTTGCGTAGCGTCTGGCCCTGCGACAGCGTGGAGGTCAGGTAGGACGCGTGCGTCAGGGTGAACCCCGAGCGGCGCACCTTGTGCGCCCCCGAGTTCCCGCCTGAGACTTCCTCCAGATTCAGGTTTCAGGAACCCAAAAGTGACGACAGTTACAGGATCCCGATGACCCGCTCGGATTAGTAACGTGATTTGCGGGCCCCATGGGGAGGGGCTCCCGCCTGAGACTTCCTCGCAATTTACTCACAGGCGAGGCCCCCGCCGGAGACTTCCTCCAGATTCAGGCCTCAGGAGCCCCGAAAGTGACGACAGTTACAGAATCCCGATGACCCGCTCGGATTAGTAGCGTGATCTGCGGGCCCCATAGGGAGGGGGCTCCCGCCTGAGACTTGCTCGCAATTCACTCAGAGACGAGGCTCCCGCCTGAGCCTTCCTCCAGATTCAGGCCTCAGGAGCTCAAAGGTGACGACAGTTACATGATCGTGATGACCCGCTCGGATTAGCAACATGATCTGCGGGCCCCATAGGGAGGGGCTCCCGCCTGAGACTTCTTCGCAATTTACTCACATGCGGGGCCCCCGCCTGAGACTTCCTCCAAATTCAGGCCTCAGGAACCCAAAAGTGACGACAGTTACAGGATCCCGATGGCCCGCTCGGATTAGTAACATAATCTGCGGGCCCCATAGGGAGGGGCTCCCGCCTGAGACTCCTCGCGATTTACTCACAGGCGAGGCCCCTGCCTCATACTTCCTCCAAATTCAGGCTTGAGGAGCCCAAAAGTGACGACAGTTATAGGATCCCGATGACCCGCTCGGATTAGTAAGATAATCCGCGGGCCCCATAGAGAGGGGGCTCCCGCCTGAGACTTCCTCATAATTCACTCACAGACGAAACCCAAGGCGAGTGAGTGTGTGACTGACTGCCTGTCTGACTGACTGGTGATGATGATGATCATCATCACACTCTCTCACGCGCACATTCGTGATCGTCATATGTGAGTGCTGATGAGTCAGTGAGTGAGTGAGTGAGTGCGTGAGTGAGTGAGTGAGTGTGTGAGGGATGATGAGTGAGTGAGAGAGGAATGAGTGATGATGATGATGGTGGGTTCCTGTTCCTGCGCGGGGTGTCCAGAGAAAACAAGAACCCCACTTTGGATGTGGGGAAAAACGGTTGTCATCCCTCTCTGGAAGTATTCGTGTGCTAGCAGACTGCGCACGCTGATCGCTGAGATTTACTTGCCCATCATGGCGTTGGTCAAGGTTGCTTCGTCTGGGAAATATTCGGCTTTATGCTGTGTCCGGGAGCGGAAGGGAAATCGTGGGACAAACCGCTGGAGAAGTTCTGCGCTCGGGCGGCACAGTGGGCGTCCTTTCATCTAGGCCTGTTCTACAATATTAGGGCGTTCTACATGTACGTGCTCCCTGTGCTGTCATTTGTAATGCAGCTGGAGCCGGACAGCTACGACATCACAGACTGCTTCAATCAAGTCCTGCGTGCTCTTGCTCCTGGGCCGGTTTGCCAGGCCATGGCAGACGACCTGCTGCACCTCGCGGACGGTTGCTATTGGCCGATGCAGTTCGTTGACCCGGCATGGCTTTCATTCTCGGCCAAGCTGCGGGTCGTTGAGAAGGTTGCGCCGGATTGTAGCGCGCGCGGCGGAGCTGGCAGATCTGCAGGTGGAGTGCGGGGGGCTGCCGTTCGGGCCGTGGCATCTCAAATGTTGTTTCTCTGTGCTTGCTCAGGCAGACTTGCGCGCCTCGGGACTAGGGGTGACGAGGTGGAGCATTCGGGAGGCGTTGAGAGGGCAGCCAGGGTCGTCCTACCAGGCAGTTGCCTAGAAACTCATCCGGCAAGCGGCTGAACACCCGTATTATGCCGACCAGCGTTTGAGAGAGAAGCTCGCGAAATGGGGCTTGAAGGGGCCGCCTGGCACTGTAGCGCGCCGTGCGCACAAGCGATTGCAGGTAGTGGCCTCGCACAGCCCTCCACGTGCACGTGCTGCAGTGTTCAGGACTTGGTGGAATGGTTGGGCGACTACGCGAAGGATGCGCCACATGGCTGGGGGCGGACTTGCAAGCTTGGTTGCGTGGGCCGCGTGGATGCACAGGACAGCCTGGAACACTACTGCCGGTGCCAGGTTTTCTGGCAGTGGGCGCTGGCCTCGTGGCCTCGTGGCCTCGGCGTGGCACCTGGGCTGCGCTCTCGCGAAGCCTTCGTCCTGCTTGCTGACGGCATGTCTAACCAGGAGATCATTCGCATGAGTCCGGGTCTTTACGCCATCTTCCGCACCGTCTCCGGGGGCGGGGTGCAGGCGCGTGGTGTCCAAGACGCGGGTTCCTTACTGTGCCAGTGGCGATGCAGAGCTGACGAGTCAATTGTTTTACTTCGTCGACGTCTTCTCTCCGGTACGGCGACTACTTTCTCATCCCTATGCGCGTCATGCTCTTCTTCGCGGGGCAGCGGTGTACTTCATTTTCGGCGAGGGCCTCGTGCGACCGTCTCTCCTCCCTCTTCCTCCTCCTCCTTTCCTCCTTCCCCCCCCCCCGCGTGGCCGTCCAAACCGTTGCGGCGAAATCTTGTTGAAGCTAGGGCAAGGTTCCCGCTCCGGGCACCAGCATGTGGCGGCATCGTGGTATCACTGGCACTCCCAGAAGTTGTATTGTCCACAGGAGTCGTTTTCCTGTGGTATAACCGCTCGCATTTCCGCCCCGCAGCACGGCTGGTTCGTCCTCTTTGTCTTGTCTTTCTGCCTCTTTATCGTCTTGTTCCCCTCGTTGCGTGTCGCCTCCTTGGCTCTTGTTCCTGGCGTTGTCGCTTCTGGGCTTTTCGTCTTGTCCCCCCTCGTCCTCCTTGTTCCTCTCTTCCTGTCTTCGTCCGGCGAGCTCGGCCTTGTTCCGCGGAGAGGCCGGTGCAACCAAAATGTACACAATGGCCCCGACATGCTCATAGATTTTTTAGAAATATTGTCGCGCCGCCAAAGGGGCCACTGACATATTCTTATCTTTTTAAAGTGTGTCGCGTGGTGGGGCGCGCCAGGGTGCGCGCGTGCGGACTCTAGACTCTAGAAATGTTGGTGGCCCGACGGGGGTCATTCGGTGGTGTCGGAATCGCAGGGGCGAAAAACAACTATCGCAATCTGAATTTAGCTTGCCAGCCGGACGTTGTCAAGCACCTTGCCTTGAGCTGCATTTTTGGAGGGCGGCATTGCGCTGCGCTGCTGCGCTTGGTGGGCGCTGTTGTGTCGGGTCTGCCGTCGCATCACTTTCCTCGTGCTGTCTACCCGAAAAAACGAAGCACCCAAGAGGCACCTAAGAGGCCCCAGGAGGCCCCGATGATCTCCAAAAAGAGCCCCAATACCTTCCAAAAAGAGCTCCAAGAGAGCCGCTAGAGAGCCACAAAGGAGATCAATAGTGCCTTTAGCAGACCCCAAGATGGTCGTCAGATTCTCGTCCTCCTCCTCCCCCCCTTCCTCCTCGTCTTCGTCCTCTTCACCTCGTCCTCACCCCCTTCCTCCTGTTCCTTTTCGCTTTGCTTCGCTGTATGTGTTTCTTCTTCCCGTTGCCAATCAGCTCTCATTGGCAGCGTTCCTGAATGGGCTGAATGGGCTGGCAAGGGTATGCAGGCAGTTTTCACTCGGGATCCTGGCAGCCGGCGATGACCGACGACCGACGACGACGACGACGACGACGACGACGACGACGACGACGACGACGACGACGACGACGACGACGGCGACACGGCGTCACCTTGGCTCTGTCTCGTTTCCCTTTTAGGTGTAGGGCATATGCGTTCCCAGATGTGGTGCTTGGTGAAATTCGACTGGCGCCGAACCCTACAATATCACCGCATCATGTTGCCAGCTCTCCTTTTGGTCATGTGTCGTCCACTCTATGGTGCCGCAGTGAGAATCAACCGGTCGAACATGAGAGAGAGAAAGAGAGAGAGAACGAGAGATAGAGAGACCGGCTGCTCGACTTTCGTGCCAGGCGTGTAGGGAACGGCAAACGAAGGCGCTGGTTGCTCGGGCCACGAGGCGCCTTTTGGGCCATGGGGTCAGAGCCCGTGCGCTCTTCGTGCCGGACCCTTGGACGCGGGACGGGCCCGATGTCTCGGCAGGATTTTTCCATCGATGCGTCGCTGCGGGTCTCTTTTTTGTGAAGCTCCTGGTGCCGTGGAGCGGGACTTCTTGGCCAGGCGTGCCCAGCCCGGGCAGCGGGAGGATGCTCGTGCCGCGTCGGGGACACGCCCAGCGCTTTTACGTTCGCAGGCGCGTTCTGTGGCGGAGCTCGGCGCCCTGGCGCGCGAGCGGCCGAAAACGACCCACAGCGCAGGACACTTTTGCGACACGGTCTCCGCCTCCGCACAAGTCCCTGGTTTGAGGCAGGCCAGGCAACACACGTCGACGCAACTTCGACGACAACCCCCTCCTTTCACGTTTCTCACAGTGGAGGGACCGCATCGTGGCACGGGTTGTCTTCGATACGGTGGGGGCGTTGGTTCAGGAATGCCCCCAGGAGGCTTCAGACCCTGGGGGATCCCCTATCTGACCAGGGCGGCTGTGACATCCATGGCCGGTCCTTGATCGGAGTTCCACCTGTCTTCCAGACCTTGGCTTCCTTATCCAATGGTTCTCTTCCGCCCGCTCGGAGCGAGACGCCGTGCTCAGCATGCCGCCCCCTGGAGGCTGTCGCCCGCGCGCACGGGTTCGGTGACCTGGCGCAGGCGCGAGCCAGGGGGCCTGGCGGCGAGAAGGAGAGCGGGCGGCGGCGGCGGCGGCCCGCGAGGGCGGCCGGGGCGTGGCCCGCGGGAGGGATTCCTGCGCACGCGCGGGCCCTGTTTGGCCCTCGGAGAGCAACAAAAACACCCAGGCGCTCAGTCATTCTTCTCCTTCTCCGAATCTCCGAATCTGCCTTCTTTTTTCGCACCATCCCCATTCCCCTCGCCCCCTTCGAACGTGGCCCTCTCCACCCTCGGGGGGGGGTGGCGAGGGGGGAGAGGGCGAGGAGGCTCGTCGGCCGCATCGGCTGTCCCTGGCGCGTGGGCCCAGCCGCGCGCTTTCGTGCGGGGGGGGGGGGGAGCGTGCCGAGGCCCTCACGCCGTCGCCGGGCATGGTCTACGTGGTGTCGCTGCTGGGCACCACGGGCGCCCGCGACAGCGAGGCCCTCGCTGGGGCGCGGCTGCTGCCTCTTCACCCCCCGCGTCTGGTGTCCAGAGGGTCTTCGCCTGCCGTCGCACCCGTGCTCCGCGGTGCCTGCCTCGTCTCCCTCCCGCCCCTCGGGGCCTGCTCTCCCTCTCGTCCTGCAGCGCTGCGTCCGTTCTCCTGCCTCTCCTGCCTCTCCCTTCCTCTGTCGGCGGTTGCTATCTTGCCGCCGCCAGTGTTTCCCTCCCCCCAATTACCGTTCTTGCAGGCTGTCTGTCTTTCCGTCCTCTTGCGTGTGCGTCTCCCTCTCTCTCTCTCTCTGTTTCTCTCCCATCCTGCCCATGTTGACGCGTGATGGAGGGCGCTCAAAGATCTTGGAGCGCAGGCATTTTGGGAAAGGCCGTGCGCGGGGTACGAACCAGCCACAGCATCGGATGAACTCTGGTGTATGGGTGGGGTTCGGATTGCGCACGGATTCCGGGGGGATTCTGAGGCCAATCTGTCATGGGGAATGTTTTTTTGTTGCTGCTGTTTGGCGATCGAAAGCTTCAACGCAAGGGTGAGGATGGTAACAGCGGTGCCTCCCCTATCGTTCCACATCTCTTTCTTTTTTTCCCCCAACCCTCCTTGGTTGGGTGTTCGTTTTGAATAGAGGGGTGTGGTCGCGTCCTTCTCCCGCCCCCCCCTGTGGTCGCCGTCCCTGGGGGGCTGGGATCTGCGAAACTGTCGCCACTTTCGAGGGCTGCTGGTGGGTCCTGCGGAGTGAGGCACCGCGGGGAGCTGAGCGAGACCTCGCCGTCCCTGGGGGGCTGCGATCTGCGAAATTGTCGCCACTTTCGAGGGCTGCTGGTGGGTCCTGCGGAGTGAGGCACCGCGCGGATCTGAGCGAGACCTCGCCGTCCCTGGGGGGCTGCGATCTGCGAAATTGTCGCCACTTTCGAGGGCTGCTGGTGGGTCCTGCGGAGTGCACCGCGCGGATCTGAGCGACACCTCGCTGTCCCTGGGGTGCTGCGATCTGCGAAATTGTCGCCGCTTTCGAGGGCTGCTGGTGGGTCCTGCTGAGTGAGGCACCGCGCAGATCTGAGCGAGACCTCGCCGTCCCTGGGGGGCTGCGATCTGCGAAACTGTCGCCACTTTCGAGGGCTGCTGGTGGGTCCTGCGGAGTGAGGCGCGCGGATCTCTTGGGGGGCTGCGATCTGCGAAATTGTTGCCACTTTCGAGGGCTGCTGGTGGGTCTTCCGAGTGAGGCACCGCGCGGATCTGAGCGAGACCTCGCCGTCCCTGGGGGGCTGCGATCTGCGAAACTGTCGCCACGTTCGATGGCTGCTGGTGGGTCCTGCGGAGTGAGGCACCGCGCGGATCTGAACGAGACCTCGCCGTCCCTGGGGGGCTGCGATCTGCGAAATTGTCGCCACTTTCGAGGGCTGCTGGTGGGTCCTGTGGTGTGAGGCACCGCGCGGATCTGAGCGACACCTCGCTGTTCCTGGGGGGCTGCGATCTGCGAAACTGTCGCCACTTTCGAGGGCTGCTGGTGGGTCCTGCGGAGTAAGGCACAGCGCGGATCCGAGCGGGACCTCGCCGTCCCTGGGGGGCTGCGATCTGCGAAACTCTCGCCACTTTCGAAGGCTGCTGGTGGGTCCTGCGGAGTGAGGCACCGCGCGGATCTGAGCGAGACCTCGCCGTCCTTTGGGGGTTGCGATCTGCGAAATTGTCGCCACTTTCGATGGCTGCTGGTGGGTCCTGCGGAGTGAGGCACCGCTGGGGGGCTGCGATCTGCGAAACTGTCGCCACTTTCGAGGGCTGCTGGTAGGTCCTGCGGAGTGAGGCACCGCGGGGATCTGAGCGATACCTCGCCGTCCCTGGGGGGCTGCGATCTGCGAAACTGTCGCCACTTTCGAGGGCTGCTGGTGGGTCTTGCGGAGTGAGCTGAGCGAGACCTCGCCGGCCTTGGGGGGCTGCGATCTGCGAAACTGTCGCCACTTTCGAGTGCTGCTGGTGTGTCCTGTGGAGTGATGCACCGCGCGGATCTGAGCGAGACCTTGCCGTCCCTGGGGGGTTGCGATCTGCGAAACTGTCGCCACTTTCGAGGGCTGCTGGTGGTCCAGCGGAGTGAGGCACCGCGCAGATCTGAGCGAGACCTCGCCGTCCCTGGGGGGCTGCGATCTGCGAAACGGTCGCCACTTTCGATCTGCGAACGGTGCCACTTTCGAGGGCTGCTGGTGGGTCCTGCGGAGTGAGGCGCCGCGCGGATCTGAGCCAGACCTCGCCGGCCTTGGGGGGCTGCGATCTGCGAAACTGTCGCCACTTTCGAGGGCTGCTGGTGGGTCCTGCGGAGTGAGGCGCCGCGCGGATCTGAGCCAGACATCGCCGGCCTTGGGGGGCTGCGATCTGCGAAACTGTCGCCACTTTCGAGGGCTGCTGGTGGGTCCAGCGGAGTGAGGCACCGCGCGGATCTGAGCGAGACCTCGCCGTCCCTGGGGGCTGCGATCTGCGACACTGTCGCCACTTTCGAGGGCTGCTGGTAGGTCCTGCTGAGTGAGGCGCCGCGGGGATCCGAGCGGGACCTCGCCGTCCCTGGGGGGCTGCGATCTGCGAAACTGTCGCCACTTTCGAGGGCTGCTGGTAGGTCCTGCGGAGTGGGGCACCGCGGGGATCTGAACGGGACCGCGCCGTCCCTGGGGGTCTGCGATCTGCGACACTGCCGCCACTTTCGAGGGCTGCTGGTGGGCCCTGCGGAGTGAGGCACCGCGGGGATCTGAGCGGGACCTCGCCGTCCCTGGGGGGGCTCTGGAGAGCTACCGCGGGATACGTTAGGCGCAACGGGCGCATGGCACAGCCAACGGGGGTGGTTTGTGAAACAGACCATCTTCCGGGCGATGGCCATAACGTTGCGCCTACACGTATCCCTCGGGGGCTCTCAAGAGCTGCTGCGGGATACGTTGGGTGCAACGGGCGCATGGCACAGCCAATGAGGGTGATTTGTTATTACGTATCCCTTAGATCTTGATCGGGGGCCTGCGAGCCTTCCGATTGCTGCGCGCAAAATCACATGCGTCCATGTTACGTCATCGCCCCCGTTGTGGCAATCCTGATGTACTTATGCCCCGCATTGCGCAAGGGTTGGGTACGTCGCCATTTTTTTTTGTTTCTCTCTCTCTCTATGTCTCTCTCTCTATGTCTCTCTCTCTCTCTCTTCCTCTCGCAGCGAAGCTTGTGAGATAAGGGACATTTGAGGTTCGGCAGGGGCTCTTGCTTTCGGCAAGTTCCCCGGATCGAGGTCGGGGAACCCATTCGTGGCCGAGGCCCGTTCGTGGCCGAGGTCCGCCACGGCCGGAAACGCCACCGTGTTCCTTAGACATCGTTCTTCGTGGTAGCACGACGACGATATTCACCGACTAGGCTTGCTAAGCGGAGCCGTACTTCGGGAGGGGGAAACAATTCGTGGACACACCGCTCAGTTGGCACACCGCTTACTTCGGGAAGCAATCCATCCCCTCCGATCTCACAGTTGGCACGCGCGGGGAAGACTGCGGTCGAAGTGCCAATCGGGAGAGCCACCGCCAATTTAGCCTTACTAGTAGTAGAAGTAGTCGTAGTAGTAGTGGTAGTAGTAGTAGTAGTAGTAGTAATACTAGTAGTAGTCGTAGTATTCGTAGTAGTCGTAGTAGTAATAGTAGTAGTAGTCGTAGTAGTAGTAGTAGTAGTAGTAGTAGTAGTAGTAGTAGTAGTCGTCGCAGTAGTATTATTTGCAGTAGTAGCAGTACTAGTAGTAGTAGTCGTAGTAGTAGTAGTAGTAGTAGTAGTAGTAGTAGCAGCAGTAGTAGTAGTAGTAGTAGGAGTAGTAGTAGCAGCAGTAGTGCTAGTTGTAGTAGTAGTAGTAGTAGTAGTAGTAGTAGTAGTAGTAGTCGTATTAGTAGTAGTAGTAGTATCAGTAGTAGTAGTCGTAGTAGTAGCAGCAGTAGTAGTAGTAACCGTGGTAGCGGAGGTAGTCGTAGTAGCCGTCGTCGTAGTAGTAGCCGTAGTAGCAGCAGCAACAGCAGCAGCAGCAGCAGCAGCAGCTGCAGTAGTAGTAGTAGTAGTAGTAGTAGTAGTAGTAGTAGTAGTAGTAGTCGTAGTAGTAGTAGTAGTAGTAGTAGTAGTAGTCGTAGTCGTAAGTAGTAGTCGTAGTCGTATAGTAGTAGTAGTAGTAGTAGTAGTAGTAGTAGTTAGTAGTTAGTAAGTAGTAGTAGTAGTAGTCGTAGTAGTAGTAGTAGTAGTAGTAGTAGTAGTAGTAGTAGTAGTAGAAGTGGTGTAGTAGTGGTAGTAGTAGTAGTAGTAGTAGTAGTAGTAGTAGTAGTAGTAGTTAGTAGTAGTAGTAGTAGTAGTAGTAGTAGTAGTAGTAGTAGTAGTAATAGTAGTAGTAGCAGTAGTAGTAGTAGTAGTAGTAGTAGTAGTAGTAGTTGTATTATTATTATATTAGTAGTAGTAGTAGTAGTAGTAGTAGTAGTCGTAGTCGTAGTCGTAGTAGTAGTAGTAGTAGTAGTAGTAGTAGTAGTAGTCGTAGTCGTAGTCGTAGTAGTAGTAGTAGTAGTAGTAGTAGTAGTAGTAGTAGTAGTAGTAGTAGTAGTAGTAGTAGTAGTCGTAGTAGTAGTAGTAGTAGTAGTAGTAGTAGTAGTAGTAGTAGTAGTAGTAGTAGTAGTAGTAGTAGTAGTAGTAGTAGTAGTAGTAGTAGTTAGTTAGTAGTAGTAGTAGTAGTAGTAGTAGTAGTAGTAGTAGTAGTAGTAGTGGTAGTAGTCGTAGTAGTAGTAGTAGTAGTAGTAGTAGTAGTAGTAGTAGTAGTAGAAGTAGTAGTAGCAGTAGTAGTAGTAGTACTAGTAGTAGTAGTTCCTTCGGCAGGATGTGTTGAGACTGTCTCTCGCGACACGCTGCTTTTACATTATTTGAGGACGTGTCGAGTGGGGGCCTTGTCGTCGTGTCGATGCTTTTGCTTTTGGTTTGGGTTCGCCCCCCGTTCTGTTCGCCCCACTTCGGAACATAATCGGATCTTGACTTCGAGCTTGTCGAGTGCCCCGCCCGTTTCGACTGCAACCTGCTTTGGGCGAGCCATGGGCGTAGGCAGCTTCATCTCAAGACCAGTATTATTTCGCGCAAGACTGGGGTGCCAAGGATGGCTTGATCCACAGCGCAGCAGAGAACAGCGAAGTTCAACACAGCATGACGCAGCACAATGCAGCACAGCTCGGATCAATCGCAAGCTGCGCCAGGATCTCGGCCTTGGTTATTGATGAGGGGTCTTGGCACCTCGGATTGCTGCTCTTTCTTTAGCAGATGCCACGTGGTTCCAGGATGGTGGGCCGAAGGGTACTTGGTTCTTTCCAATCTTCGTGCGTTTTCTCTTCGGGTAGGATCGGTTCGGCGTTAATCTCGGTTCGGATTGTATATGTTCGCCTTGGTGCAGGTCGTCGCGTCTTGGGTCGCCGCATTTGGGTCCGCCCATTCTCGGTGCGTGTCGTGTCGATTCGGGGTCGCCCCCTCTTGGTTCGTCCCGTTACGGAGCTTAATCAGATCTTGAGCTCGAGTTGGTCGAGCAACCCGCGCGGCTGAACTGCAACTCGCTCGAGCTATGCGTTCAATTAGCTCGAGCCTGCTATCCAGATCAGTTCGGTCAGGGTTCTGACACCAAGGACGACCTGATTCAGAATGCGATAGACCACAACACAGTTCAACGCGGCATGGCACGTCTCAATTCACCACAGCACAGTGCAGCACAGCCCCTGGCACAGTACATCACCACCGTTACCTTGAGCATTGCAGTTGCCAGTCGCCCAGGTTTTGTGTCTTAGAAACGTTTCCATGCTTCACAGGCTGTGTCCCTGTCCAGGTTTATGGGTCGATCATGTCTTACTGGCGGATTACTATTTAATGCTCTCCTCCATGTATCCTTCTGATTCGTTAGGGTACGGTTATTGCTGCTGGCGCAAAGGATTGAGAGCACTAACGCTGTCATGTGTGTTCAGAACGCGAATGTTAATGGTCCGCCGTTAGCGGATGAGCCAGATATTTAGATTAATAACAACCAGCAGGTTACTATGCTTACTGCACAGACCAATCAGACCATGGAGAAAACGAAACATATTCATAAAGTTATGGATGGAAATTATTGCAATAAGTACACGGATCGGATGACATTGCAAATTGTGGTCGTAATGTCCAAGGTGCCGCTTCCTTGTGTACCGTTTTTTGTTCCATTTTCTTAGCGTGGGCGCTCTGAGGTAAGAAACACAGAGCGCGCACCCCCAGGCAGCGGACTCCAAGGCCAAGCGCTTGGCGGAGTGCAAGGGGGTCGTGGACTCTGTTCATGCAGCGGCTGAGAAGCTTGGCTGCCCTCGCGGAAAGCTGCCGGTCGTAGTGGGTTTCGGTATCACCAAGCGGGAGCACGTCCAGGACTTTCGTTTGGCTTTTTTTTTGATTGTCGCACAGATGAATTTGCCGGTTTTGAGACGTTGAGGGTGCGTGGGCGGGTATTGGCCACCGTGACAGCACGCACGTTCATGTCCTTAATTGCATTGTTTTCCGTTCGTTTGCTGCTACTGCGGCTCCGTCTCCTTCGTACTCAGTCAGCGGACGTGATCATTGTGTCTCTGCTCGGAGACGCCGCAGATGACGAGTTTAGGACGGCCAAGTTCATCCCCAGCGGGCATGTCGGCCGGGGTGGCGACCTGTACACTTCTACAGTGTTCCACACTGTCTTTCAGAAGCTCAGTTCCACAGTGTTCCTCAGTGTTCCTCAGAAGCTCACACGGGGCTCTTCTTCTTCTTCTTCGTTTTCTCAGCTGTTCAGCATCTGTTGAAACGACAGCCTCGCCCAGCGCGCGCGCGAGACTGGAGCCCGAGGGGCGGAAGTCACGGCGGGCGCCCCCCCTCCCCCCCAGGGGGAAGCGAGCACGCAGCTCTCCCGATCAAGGGGTGTTCGGCGGCACGCTGAAGGGGACAGGTCGAGGGGGCGGCCTTCAAAGAAGCCCTGTTGGAAGAGGCCTCCGATCCCTTCTCACAATCCCCTTGCCTTCTTAGCATGTCGCCCTTCTCGCCTTGCCCCCTAATGCGCGCCGCGAAATGTATGGCTTGGACACGCGTGTGGCCGCATTCGAAGTCCTGCTTTGAGGCTCTCCTGGGGCGTTTCGGGCCCGTCTTTCTGGCCCTCTCGGGCGCTGTGGGGCTTCCTTGGGGCCCCGTGTGACCGTCTTGGCGTCCGCCTGGCCATCTTGTGGCTGTGTTGAAGGGTCTTGCGGCCGCTTCTGGGGCTTATGGGCCGTCTTGAGAGCTATCTTTGGAGGCCTATTGGGAACCGCAAGGGCGAGACGGTCACAGGCTCACCACCCACCAAACCACCCCAACCCAACCCGAAGGCACCGATTTGCCCTCCATATCCAGTGTGGGGGGGGTTCGGGGAATTCTGAAAAACCACATATGAAGCCCGTAATTACCCCCCCCAACCCGAAGTTCGGGCGAGATTCGGGTCTTGGGGTTGGGTTGGGGTAGTTCGGTATGCAGTCACAGGCAACCGCGATTTTGAATAGTTTCTGATTTTCTTCGGAGCCTCCGAGAGAGGCTTCTTCGGCTATCTTGAGACACGTTTGAAGTCCATGGGGGTGTCGTCGATCATCGCGTGCTCCCAGGTTGCCAAGGAGGCTTGCCACCCACTGAGCCCCGTTCTTGCTCTCCTCTTGGGCCGCTCTTACCCTGCCGTTGGGCCGCTCTTGGGCCGAGTTGACCTGAAAAATGATTATCCAGCAAATCCCTGTAGGCGTGGCCTCACGCGCGCGCAAAATAGCTGAACAACATCACACAACTCACACACACACACACTACCAGACTTGCCTTGCTGCATCATCTAGCATGCCTCTCGTCATGGACTGGCGAATTACTGCTCTCACCAGCTCGATCTATGCTTTCCCTTTCGTCGACAGGGGTCAGACAGAAACTCCCGGAGTGTGCCGCGCGTGCTATGCTATGCTGTGCAGCGCTTACCGTTGCGTACCGTGCGTGGCGTGCGTGCTGCGTGCACCGTGCGGGCCAACTGTTTGAGGGAGCAGCACTGCCCAGCGAAACACTGCTCAGCAACAGCGAGGGGGCCAGGGGGATCCGAGAGGTCTCCTCCTCGTCTTCCTCCTCCTCCTCCTCCTCCTCCTCCTCCTTTTCCTCCTCCCCTCCGCCCCCCTTGCACACGAAAAGGTGGCGAAGGCCAGGTGCCTCCCGCCCCCCCCCCCCCCCCCGCGCACTGGAGGCCTTCTCCTTCCGCCAGGGCCTGAAGGGGAGGGCCCCTTCTCCCCCTCCCGGGCGCCCGAGTCTCTCCTTCCCTCCCCGCGCGCGGAAGGGTGAGCCTCCCCCCCCCACGGCGGCAGCCGAGTCTCTCTCCTGCCGCCGGGCAGCATGGGTCACCCCTCCAGCACTCGAGTCTCTCTCTCTCTCTCTTTCTTTCTCTCTCTCTTTCTCTCTCTTTCTCTCTCTCTCTCCCTCTCTCTCTCTCCCCTTCTCGAGACATTCGTCACACGGCAACGCCTGGGGGACGGAACATAGATTTTTCCATGCCACTCGGCACGTGGTAACGCAGAGCGAAAGAACAAAAAACGCCTCTTCGACTATACTCGTCACGTGGCAGCGCCTGGTGAGCGAAAGAAGGACCATGCCAGTCAAAGACCATGCCATTCTACTCGGCACGCGGCAGCGCCCCGGAACGAAGAATGACGATGCTCTCTAATGGCCTTCGGCCCATTCCGCCACCGTGCCTGGGTTGTGGGTATGAAGCCTATTGGATGTTAGTCGGAATCTCGTGGGAGGCCTCCCGGGGGCCTCTTGGAGGCAGTTTGGACGCCTCTTGGAGGCCGTTTTGGGGCCTCTAGGGGGCTATTTCGGGCCTCTTGGGACTTGGGGTGGTCTCTTGGGGGCCTCTTTGGGGCCTCTTGGGGACCTCGTAGGGCTTGAGGCCTCCTGGGGGCCTCTTGGGGCAGAAGACTCAGATTTTCGCTTCGTGTTCCGTCTCTTGGGCCCCTTTTGGGGCCGTCTTGGTCCCTCTTGGGTCGTTTTGGGCGCCTCTTGGGCCGTCTTGGGGCCCTCTTGGGGCGTTTTGGGGCCCTCTTGGAGACCTCTTGGGCCGTCTTGTGGCGGTCTTTGGGGCGGTCTTTGGGGCCTCTGGGGCCGTCTGGGAGCGTCGGGAAGCCGAAAGGGCGAGAACTCCAAAATACAAAAAAAGCCACAGGACAATTACTAATTTTGTCTTCTTGGAGCCTATTGGCTATTGGGAGGCCTCCTGAAGGCCTTTTTGGGGGTGTTGGAGGCCTCTTGGGCTGTCTGGGGGCTTCCGTGAGCGTCTGGGAGCGATCGTTCGGCGACTCGGGGCCTTCTTGGACCGTCTTGGGGGCTTCTTGGGGCCCTCTTGGCCCGTCTTGGGGCCCCCATGGGCCCGAAAACACTTCCTGGAGCACTTCCCGGAGCCCAGGGGACACGTGGGAAGCCCCGGTAGATTTGAGAATTTGGGATCCGTGACCTTTGAAGACTCCTCGGGAGTGAAGATTGAGGCTCAGAGGATTAGGCAAAGGACCTGAGGACACGGCCACGTGGTAACGCAGCGCGGCGGAAGGCATACAATTCTGCTATACTCGCCATCGCAACGGGCTGGAAAACAGATCAGTCCACTCGACTCGTCACGCGGCAACGCGTGGGGGGTGACACAGTATCATTCCATTACTCTCGCCAGATGACAACGCAGCGGGCCGGAAAATATACAATTCCACTCGACTCGGGCGGGGCGGAAAAATGCCATTCCATTCGGCTCGTCACGCAGCAACGCCTGGGGGCCGAGACACACATCATTTCATTGCGCTCGCCAGGCTGCAGATCAGCAGGGAGTCGAAGACGCCTCGTCTACTCACAGCGGAAACCAGACCACGGGAGCAGCAGGGAGTCGTCGCGTGGCCATGCCTCCAGAACGAATTTCGACTCTGCCACTCTGCGTGGCACGTGGCAGCGTCCGGGGGGCAAAACACTGCGATCCTGTTCTATGCGCCACGTGGCAACCCATCGGGGCGGAAAGCATACAGCTCTACTGTGCTCGCCAAGTGGCAACGCGGCTCGCGGGAAACAGCATACTATTCCCTTCTACTCGTCACGCGACAACCCCTGGGGGGCGAACACACATACTAGCCCATAACACTCTCAACGTGGTAATGCAGCGTGGCGAAACAAGAACACCTGTTCGACTTTAATCGCCACGTGCCAGCGCAGCGGGGCGCACAAAAAACTATGCCGCTCTACTCGGCTTGTGGCAACGCCCGAGGAGGGAAACAAGGCGATTCCATTCTACTCGCCACGTCGCAACGCAGCGCGGCGGAATACATCCAATTCTACTTCACTTGCCAACGCAGCGGGCTGGAAAATGTTCAAGTCAACTCTGCTCGTCGCGCGCGAGCGCCTGAGCGGCGAAGCACATATTGTTCCATTGCACCTGGCAAGTGGCAGCGCAGCGGGCCGGAAGCAAAACTAATTCCACTCGGCTCGGGCGGGGCGGGAGAAGTTCCAATCCATTCGACTCGTCACGTGGCAACGCCTCGGGGTCAGAGCACGCACTGTTCCTTGGTATCTGTCAGGCGGCAATGCAGCAGGGAGTCGAAGATGCCGCTTCTGCTTTCCTCGTCACGTGGCAATGCCTGGGAAGCGACAGAAAGGCCATGCCACTCCTACTTGGCACGTGGCAGCGCCCGAGGGGCGAAGCAAGACGAGTCTGTTCAAGTCGCCACGTGGCAACGCAGCGCGGCGGAGGACATAAGATTTTGACTGCACTCGCCAAAGCGGCGGGCTGGACAACAAATCATTCCACTCTACTCGTGACGCGGAAAGGGCCTGTGGGACGACTTACATCTCTCTCGCCGAGTGGCAGCGCAGCGTATTGGAAACAATACCTTTCCACTCCACTCGCCACGCGGCAGCGCATGGGGGGGAAACGAATATTATTCCATGGCACCCGCCACGTTGCAACGCAGCGTGGTGGAAAAACACCCATTCGATTTTTCGGTCGAGTTTGATCGGAGAGGGCACGCGAGAGGGCGCAACGCACCCTTCCGAGGGCCACAGTGCCATCGGAGTGCAGGCGGTCGTGGGCCGATAGAATTAAAAGGACTTAAGGGTACCCTTGATCTGGCAGGGTCGACCTACTCTTCGTCACGTGGCAATGCCTGGGGAGCGTGAGAGAGACCATGCCGCTCCTACTCGGCACGCGGCAGCGCCCGAGGGGCGAGGCAACAGACGAGTCTGTTCGAGTCGTGCTCGCCAAGGCAGCGGGCTGGACACAATACCATACCACTCTACACATTATAATTGTTCTATCCCGGGCCTCTTCCTGGCTATTAGAGGGCCAGGAACAATGAGAAACGAGCACACTTAGAAATGAGCACGATTAGAAATTAAGGACGTGTACTCGTCACGTGGCAACGCCAGGAGGGGGGGGTCGAACCACATACAGTTCCACTGCGCTCGCCAAGCGGCAACGCAGCGGGCCAGAAACAGTACCGTGCCACACGGCTCGTCACGCGGCAACGCCAGGGGGGCAAACACACACACACACACTTATTATTATTATTATTATTATTATTATTATTATTCTTATTCTTATTATTATTATTAGTATTATTATTATTATTCCATTGCGCTCTCGACGTGGTAACGCAGCGTGGTGAGGAACAAAAACGCCTCTTATAGTTTTCTCGTCAAGTGGCAACTTCTGGGCAGCAAAACGGAGACCATGCCACTCTTATTTGGCACGTTGCAACGCCCGAGGGGCCGAACATTACGATTCTATTCGAGTCGCCACGTGGCAACACAGCGTGGTGGAATACATACAATTCTCGTGTATCCGCCAACGCAGCGGGCTTGAAAGTATACCAGTCCACTCTATTCGTCACGCGGCAACGCACGCGGGGCGAAACACAAATAATTCCATTCTACTCGCCACGTGGCAACGCAGCGGGCCGGAACAAGTACCATTCCACATGACTTGTCACGCGACAACGCCTTGGGGGGGGGCGACACGAATAGTATTCCATTGTGCTCGCCAAGCGACAACGCAGCATGGCGTCAGACACGCCTCTTAGCCTATGTCGTCATCTACTCGGCACGTGACGATGCCCGAGAGGCGTCACAGTACGATTCTATTCGACTCGCCACGTGGCAACGCAGCGTGGCGGAAGACATCAGCGGGCTGGGAAACATACTGTTCCTCCACTCTACTCGTGACGCGGCAGCGACTCGGGGGCGGAACGGATGTCCTCCCAGTGCACTCGCCACGTGGCAACGCAGCGTGTCGGGAAACATTAAATTCCACACGACTCGTCACGCGGCAGCGCCCTGGGCGGAGGGGCGACCCGAATAGTATCCCGTTGTGGTCGCCAAGCGGCAACGCAGCATGGCGTCACAAGCGCCTCTTAGACTCTGTCGTCATCTCCTCGGCACGTGGTAACGCCCAGTAGGCGAAACAAAACTAATGTATTCGACTCGCCACGTGGCAACGCAGCCGGGCGGAATTCATATAAATCCACTGTACTCGCCAAGTGGCAGCGCAGCGGGCCAGAAGCATACAATTCCACTCGACTCGTTTTGCGGCAAGGCCTGGGGACGAACTAATGTTATTCCATCACGCTCGCCACGTGGTAACGCAGCGTGGCGAACAGAAAAACGCCTACTCGACTTTTCTCGTCACGTGTCGATGCCGGGTAGCGAAAGAACGACCATGCCACTCTACTCGGCACGTGGCGACGCCCGAGGGGCGAAACAAGACGATCATGTTCGATTCGCCAGGTCGCAACGCAGCGTGGCGGAATACATACAATTTAAATCTATTCGCGAACGCGCGTGGCAACGCCCGGGGGGCGACACACGTACAACTCCACTCGATTCGTTTTGCGGCAACGCCTGTGGGCGAAACACATGTTTTTCCACCACATTCGCCACCTGGCAAGGCAGCGTGGTGGACACATTACCTGATCGATTCTACTCTTCACGGGGCGACGCCTGGGGAACGAGCAGAAGTCATGCCACTCTACACGGCACGTCGCGACGCCTGAGGGGCGAAACAAGGCGATTCGATTCGAGTCTCCACGTGGACATTCGGCACGTGGCAACGCAGCGTTGCGGAGACAAAAACGCCTACTTGACTTTACTCGCCACGTGGCAGCGCAGTGGGGCCAAACAAGAACTATGCCGCTCTACTCGACACGTGGCAACGCCCGGGTTGGGAAACAGGACGGTTGTATTCTGCTCGCCACGTCGCAACTCATCGCGGCGGAAGACATACAGTTCTACGGTACTCGCCAACGCAGCTGGCCAGAAAAATACAGTACTATTCCAAACGAGTGCGGGTGGTCGGGAGGCCCCCCCCATGTCAGCTCGGCGGAAGGAGAGAGACTCGAGTGCGTGGGGGGGGGGGCCTGTCGGCACGCGGGAAGGAGTGAGACTCGAGTGCTGGGGGTGGGGGGGGGGCCCTCTTTCGACCCCCCCGTTCTTTCGCGCTCTTTCGTGTGCCAGGGAGGTCCCCCTCTTCGCCCCCTCCCCCTCCCCCCCGCGTCGTCTTCGTTGGGTATCGCCCTATCATATGCTATGTGCGTGCCGTGCGTACTGCGCCATGCCGTGCTGTGCGTTTCGTGCGCAGTGCCGTGCGGTATCATGCCGTATTGTGCCGTGTCGGCGGTGTCGGGCCGTGCCGTGCGTAGAGTGTTTGTCCTGCGTGCCGCGCCGTGCGTGCTGTGCGCGCTGTGCCTTGCTTGTCCTGCCGTGCCGTGTGCGCGGTGCCGTCGGTGTTGTCCCACTCGTATCGTGCGTGCTGTTCCGCGCTTGCCTTGCCAGAGATGGCATGCCGAGGGTTTCAGACTGCGCGTGCCATGTCGGGCGTGCCACTGGAAGATCGTGTTGGTCGATCTTGCTCAGGGACTCGTTGCAAGGGGTCGTTTCTGATTTGATCCCGGTGTCAGCCAAGCTGGCAGTCGGCCGTCCCCTTCCATGGATTGTAGCTCCGCGCTTTCTCTTTCAGTGCCTCTATTACTTTTCCAGCCGCGGCAGTAGGTCCTTGCGTGTTCTGGCCAATCAGGCTTATTTTTGCACATCGATGGAAAATAGTGCTCTCTCCAGGAGTTCGGTGCTTTCGCTGATGGCTGCGTGGTGGGCTCCAAGATTGTAACGGAGATCGCCAAGTCGGGTGTTGCAGGAAGGTTTACCCAGTGCGAGCATTGCTCATTGTGCGTGCTGCTATCCAGTGGCTGCCGCACATATCCGTCAAGCTGGGGGAAGTAGCATTGCAGCGCGTTTGCTTGGACTGCCTCACGCATTGCATGGTTAATGTAGTGCCTGTCGTTGCTCCTGGGGGGCTTCTTGTGAACGTAGTGGGGGCCCGTTTTGGGTCTTCAGGCTGTCTGTGGGACGTCTGAGGCTGTCTTGGGCCAGTCCGAAGCCGTCTGAGAGTCATCTTGGACGATTCTGGGGACGTTATGGGTCTTGTCTTGAGGGCGTGTAGGGCTGTCTTCGGCTCATTCGTGGGCCATCTTTGGGGGCATCCTGGAGTCCCGGGCAACTGCCAGGGGTAGCCTGAGGACACTCTGGTAGGCCCTCCAAGCGTAGAAGAAGCATATCGTGTTTGTTTGGGGGGCTCTCAGAGGCCGGCTGAAAGGTTCCTTGTAGGCCTGTTGGGGATCTCCTCGGGTCTGTTCGGGTCCTTTGTGGGGTAGTTGGGCTGCCTTGGGGGCGCCTGGTGCCGTCTCCTTGGTGAAATGTGCGCTAACAAATGTGCTCTAAACGTGCCCAGGGTTCGAAACGTGGAAGTCCTTAGAGGCGCAACAACTTTAACATCGCATCGCAGGTAGCAAGAAGCTCAAGATGGACCTACCCGTGTTTGTCTTGGACCCCATTTCTTTGTATTTTGAGGGCCAACTTTCTGTTTTCAAGGTAAGCAAGAGGAGCAAGGCAGAGCCCTCCAATGCAAGCATTGTAGCCGCCGAGGAGGTGCCAGTACATCGAGACAGGGACTTGGAAGCAATCGTGTCGCGATTTTTGGGGCGACAGTGAGCTCGGTGCATTGCGGCGTGCATGGCGCTCGGGGGTTTGACCAAGGGCTCGGAACGTGGAAGTCCTTAGATGCAGAACAGCTTGAACGTCGCGTCGCAGCCGCAAGCTGCCAATGGAGCTAGATATTTCTGTCTTGGGGCTTCATTTCAATGTATTTTTAAGGGCCGGCTCTCTGCGTGTCGCTCGGGGGTGTGACCAAGGGGCGAGGTCGCATCCACCGCGGCCGTTTGGACTCAAGAAGCGCCGCGACCGACGGCCTCGAAGCGCAAGCCTGCCTTCGGAAGCGAAGCTCCCCGTGCCACCGGTCGCATGGCGCAGGACAAGGGAGAGTACAGCCAGGTCGCGAGGGAAGCCCCCGCGGACAGCACGGGGGGCAGGCTGAAGGCCGCTTTCGACGGCACGCCCTTCAAGTGGAAGGTCGCGATCGCGGCAGGCATCGGCGTCGCGGGCGTCGCCGCTCTGGGCGGCGGCCTCGCGGCTGGGAGCCGTGGCGCGTCTAGTGGGGCGGCCGTGGCGGCGGCGCAAAGCGAGGCCGTCCCGGCGCAGGCGAGCGTGACCGCGGACGCGCACGTCGGGTCGAAGGACCTTTCGGCGACCGGGTCGAGGACGCTGGAGGAACCGGTGGCGGTGAAGGCGCCGGTGGCGGTGATGAGCAAGGACAGCTTCGGCAAGGGCACGTCCTGCCGTGGTGTGGACGGCAAGGAGGGCGCTGAGGGCACGTCCTTCAAGGTCTACGCGGGCGTGAGCACCTTCGCCGACTGCAAGGAGAAATGCCAGGGCGTCGGGGACTCGTGCACAGGTGTCGAGTACCACCACGACAGCCTCGAGTGCAGGGCATGGAGCGCGCCCATCGGAGGGACCGTGGAGGCGAAGGAGGTCGGGTGCTTTCGCAGGAAGGGTGCGGAGCCAAACGCCGGCACCACCTCCAACGCGTCGGACGCCGCGCCAGTGGCCAATCCCAAGCAAGAGGCCAAGTCGGCAGAGCGCCCAGCCAAGTGCGGCGACCGCTTCAAAGCGCCTAAGAAGCCGAAGACGGCTGACGAGCACAACGGCGTGGCCCTCGAGGACGTCTGCTTCGAGGGTGACGGCCCCCACCATGTCTTCATCATCGGCGACTGGGGTGGCATTACCCAGGGCGATGGACGGCTCGCCGCCGCGCCGCATCTCACGCACCGCTGGGAGACGAACTACAACTTCGTCTGGCCCCCTGATGAGCAGGCCCAGACCCTCGTCCGCGACCAGATGCGGAAGCGCGCTCCGGAGAGCAGGCCAGACTACTTCCTCAACGTCGGTGATAATTTCTATTGGGCGGGGGTCGAGGACCACTGCGGCGCGAAGGACATCACGAAGCCCTACAGCAAGGGCGGCACCACGGTCTACAAGGAACATAAGGTGAATCAGTTCGACCACGTGTATGAGAAGGTCTACACCGGGGACGGCATCGACGACAAGCAGTGGCTGGGCGTCCTGGGCAACCACGATTATGGCGGGTGGCTGTTCACCCACGCCTGGGACCAGAACATCGGCTACACCTGGAGCTCGGCTGACTACTCCACTGGTCGGTGGATGACTCCGGCCATGTACTATCGGTCCAAGGTGTGGTACGAGGACTTCGCCGTCGACTACTACTTTCTGGACGCCGATATCTTCTCTTTTCCGCCTGCTGACCCCCCCAGGGGCCCTCAACCGAGGACAAGCCCACGTCTGTTGAATTTGACCCAGTATGGGATGCTACCTAAATGGGGCTATGCTTGGTCTGGGCGACAGTGAAATTATACATCTGGATTCTGTTTGATTTGGGCGAGTGCGGGACCGTCGCTTTAGGAACACGGGTCCGTCCGAACTTCCAAAGGATCGTGGTCCTGGGGGAGCTCCGCTTGCCAAGGCCCTGCCCATGTTGAGATCTAGATCTAGATCCGAGGCTGGTCGGTCAAGTCCAGGTCTGGGCCGCCTGGGCCTCCCTTCTGGCCACTCTCCCCCCCTCTGCGCAGGGCAAGGCCCGGCCCAAGTCTGGATCCCCTCCCCAGGGAACGGCCCACCCCCCAGGTGTAGACGTGGATCGGATCAGGGCCTGTCGGAATGTCGGAACACGGGCCCGTCGGAACTCAGGACCTTGGTCCTGGGGCAGCTCTGCTTGCCAAGGCCTGAACTCATCTGCTCCGACCCTATCTGGGAGGCCTCTAGGAGCGGCATTCCTTCTGCCCCCCCCACCGCAGGGAACGGCCCACCCCCCAGGTGTAGACCTGGATCCGGGCCCCGCCTGTACTCCCCGCGCTCCCCCGGGTCCAGCCTGGATCCAGATCCAGATCCGGGGCTGGTCGGCCCTCCTGCCAGCTCCAGGCTCTCCCTGCCGGCCGCCCTCCGCGCAGGGCCCAGCCCAAATCCAGATCTGGAGCCATGGGCTCCTCCTCCGAGTTTGTCCGCATCTGCTCAGGACACCAACATTTTCGACGCCCTGGACCCCAAGGATCCGTCCCCGCACAACATCTGCTCCGAGACGCACAACGACGAGAAGCCCGTGACCTGCGCCCCCGTGGGGCCGAGCGGCGTGTGGAAGTGCCAGGACTGGTTCGGCAAGCTTTGGAAGAAGCAGCAGAAGTGGCTCGACGAGGTGGTGCCAGAGTCGACCGCCGACTGGCGCATCGTCGTCACGCACTTTCCGCCGAGCTGGGGCGCTCCCGACTGGAAGAAGCTCGGCTTCAAGCACGAGATCGACCTCGTCATTGCCGGTCATAGGCACCGCCAGGACAAGGCGAGCAAAAATCAAGTGCAGTAAGCATTCGAAGTCGATTTCTGGGCCCGAGGAACGCCCCGAATCCCCAAGCTGCTATTGGAGCGCTCGTTATGGCGATTTCAGCTCCAGGGGGGGACACGTGTTTGTAATACTTGGGTTGCTTAGATAGGGTTGCCAGCCCCCCGGAGGACATGCACCAGCCTGGCGACAACAGGACCATGGTGTGGCATAACGACCCGAACGGGCTGTACAACGATTTCCTGGACCCCATCGTGTGGGTGACCTCCGGCGGCGGCGGCGGCGTCACCTCCGAGCGGGAGCCGTCGATGGACGGTAATGACGACCAGTATGGCTTCATGGATATGACCCTGGAGAAGAGCAAGACCCATAGAAAACCCTGAACCGTCGGGCAGGCCGCCGATCTGGCCGATCTGCCAATCCGTCTTGCCTCGATCTGGCTCGATCCATCGGGCGTTCTGGCCTCGATCTGTCGATCGTTCTGGCCTCGATCTGTCTCGATCAGGCCGCTGATCTGGGTGGTCGATCGTACCCTCCATCTGCAGGGTGCACCGGGCTTCATAATAAATTGGTCTGGCTGGGTCAGGGCCAGGCCGTGACTCAGCTTGGATCAGGGGTGGTGGTGCTTCTGAGGTAAGATTACGATCGAGGGTATCTCCCATGGTGGTCAGCTTCGCAGGAAGCTCGTCATGGAGCCCGCGTTTCCTCACCACCCTCTGTACGACGAGGCCAAGGCCAAGAAAGCCGCGAAGGAGGCCAAGGAGAAGGCAACAGCATGGACGAAGAAGCATGCGGCAGAGATCAAGGCCAAGGAAGAGGCATGGGCCGAGGCACACAAGAAAAAACCCAAGACGGAAGGGGACAGTGATGATTCCGAGGCAGATGTTCATGCAGAGTGACGCAACATCGTTTATTCTTGAAGAGCGCGCTTGTCAGCGAGGCATGTGTGTGTGTGTGTGTGTGCGTCAACTGATTGAGAATCGTGTCAGGTCCTTTGACACTCATGAGGCTATAATTTCTGCGTGTAGAGCGTTGCATCAAATCAACGGCTTGCGAGAATCATCGGGTACTTGCGAGTGTGGCTCTGAGGGTTTGTCCCCCCGAAATTAAGTACAGTGGCGACGAATGTGCGGCAGTTGTTGCCAAATGGTCCAGCCAAATGGCACGCATGCACGCTTCGCACGTTCACACTGGTGGTCCCAAATGGCAGGGATGCACGATGCATGCAAAGTGGTGGTCCCAAAGGCGGACCAACTACTCAGAGAAATTCGTGTCGCAGCAGAACGCTGCCGATGGAGTCGCATGTGCTTGTGGCAGGGAGCTCCATCTGCCCCTCACATGGGTGTTGCCTGTCTATCCTCCACCCCGAAAAGAGGAGCGAGGCCACAGCATCACACCACCGCATGCTCAGCAGTGGTACCGGGGTGTTTCTACCACGAGCGCGTACGGAACGCGAAGTCCGAGTCCTCGGGCTTGGTGCATGCAATTGCCAGACGCCTCGCAGGATCAGCCATGCAACTTGACTTCGCACGACTCTGGTCTTGGGAGTCATCCCGTGCCGACGCCCAGACGGCTCCCGGCGACGGCGAGCTCTCGTCTTCGGCCCGCTGGTCCCCTCGGCGTCGCTGCAGGTACGGAGAGGGGCCGTGACGTGTGACAGCTCTCTCGCTTGCCCAGGCTGCGGATGGCCGCAACATTTGCCATCTTGCCTCCTCCTCCTCCTCCTCCTCCTCCTCCTCCTCCTCCTCCTCCCCGGGGCCCACAGGGCCGCAACATGTGGCGGCTCTCTTCGTAGGCCCACGCTGGGCGTCCTGGGATCCCTTCGGGCTTCGGGGCCACCTCTGGGCGGTCCTCCGTGTGTCCCGGCAGATTCTGGGGCTGTCTGGGTCCCTGGGTCGTCTCTTGGTCGCCCTGGACTGATCTTGAGCCGTTTTGGCGATGTCTTGTGGGGTCCTGTGCCGTCCTGGTGCAGCTTCTGGATCGGTCTTGGGCCGTCTTCTGGCCGTCTTGGGATCCCCTGGAGCTTCTTGGGAGCGGCTTGGGGGAAAGTCTTGGGACCTCTTGGGGCAGAAAAAGGGCGACACGCAGAAAGCACTGAAACGCTTTCATGCTTTCCGATGCTTTTGGCTTGGCTTCTCAAGGGCGTCCTGGAGGGCTTCTTCGAGGCCTTTGGGGCAGCTTGCGGGCCTCTTCGGGGGTCTTTGGTGTTTTCATGGTTTGATATGGTTTTCTGGGCCTTTTTCAACAATTCTGGGTAATCTTGGCGACCTTGGAGGCCTTCTTGGGTCGTCATGGAAGCCATTCCATCTTCTCGAAGGCGTTGACAGGCCCAGAAAGCCTCGGAAGCACGTGGTGGTAGTACATGGGGCTGGGTGCTAGGGGTCCCCTCAATTATAAGATAAGCCCAGCTAGACAGCCTCGGCATTGTACCTCTCCATTGCGTGCCAGGTGGCACGGCGGAAGGGACGGAGAATGCTGTAGGGCAGTGCTTGCATCAACGTGTCTTTTTGGAGTCACGAAGACCCGCCCCTGGGTGTCGTCTTTTCTTGGATACCAGCTGGGTCCCGCCCATATGGTCCCAGCCTTAACTGCCATGGGGGTCATTTCTCTCTTGCCGCATACAGGGCCCCTCTCTTAGGTCCATGGCTTTCCCTATGTTCCCCAGATGCTGCTTGGTGTTTGGCTGGTTCTGACCCCCTGATCGACTTCTTCTGCTGCTTCTATGTCGCCTCCCCGTCCTCCAAGATATCTGTCGTCTTCATTTGTTTCAGGCGCCCCCCCAGAGCACTCGACCCCTTCCCTGGGGCCGGCCTTTCATCCCGAGACATGTGTCATTGTCAAGTCCCAGAGCCAGAGCTCAAAATCAGTTCCCGCATGCCCAGACTTGTGGCAAAGCTGGCCAGGTCGGCTTTTCGCGCCGGCGGATGTCTGGGCTCGACCCGCTCAGGAGTCGGGAAGGTCGTCCGGGAGCTGAGCGGGGGGCCCCTGAAGAGCACCGTCGCGGCGAAGCCGGTGGAGCCGGCGGCGAAGCGGCAGAAGACCACTGAGGAGGCGTCCACCACGCGCCGACGCCGAGGGGCTGAGACGGATGCATCGATTGAGGGCCCCATATTCACAACCGTCTCGAGCAGTGTAGTCCATCGCGCGCACTTGCCGCCGAAGGTTGTAGTGATTCTCTCGTGGTCAAACGTCCTGAGCGTTTGTGTTTTTGGTGCCTGGCTTGTGGCTGCGGGCAGTCCGATTGGTCGTGAGAAGCAGCGCGGGGGGAAGGAGGGGATGGGGGTGAGGAAGTGGAGGAAGTCGAGGAGGAGAATCAGGTGGGGGAGGAAATCGAGGAGGAGAGATAATTGAGGAGGTGGAGGAGGTGGAGGAGGAGGAGGAGGAGGAGAAGGAGGAAAAAGAGGAGAAGGAGGAGGAGGACGAGGAGGAGGAGGACGAGGAGGAGGAGGACGATGAGGAGGAGGAGAAGGAGGAAGAAGAGGAGGAGGAGGAGGAGTAAGAGGAGGAGGATGACGAGGAGGAGTTTGAGGAATACTACTTGTTACCTTACTGTTGTTGTTGCTTTTGTTGTTGTTGATGTTGTTGTTGTTGTTGTTGTTGTTGTTGTTGTTGTTGTTGTTGTTGTTATGATTGTTGCTGTTGTTGCTGTTGTTGTGATTGTTGTTGTTGTTGTTGTTGTTGTCGTTGTTGCTGCTACTGCTGCTGCTTCTGTTGTTGTTGTCGTTGTTGTTGTCGTTGTTGTTGTGTTTGTTGTAGTTGTAGTTGTTGTTGTCGTCATCATCGTCGTTGTTGTTGTGGTTATTGTTTTTTGTTGTTATGGTTATTGTGGCTGTTGTTGTGGTTATTGTTGTTGTTGTTGTTGTTGTGGTTGTTGTTATTGTTGTTGTTGCTGTTGTTGTTGGCGTCGTTGTTGTCGTCGTCGTCGTGGTTGTTGTTGTCATTGCTGTTGCTGTTGCTGTTGCTGTTGCTGCTGCTGCTGCTGTTGTTGTGATTGTTGTTGAATGCTAAATTCTAAACAATTATTATTGTGGGACCCCTTACAGGCGCCCTGGCGCTCTCGCCGAGGCGCCGGCTGCATTTTCATTGAAAGATGAGGCTCGCTCTCAAGCGGCTTGGGGTCCGCCCAAACCAGCCCCCCAACAAGAACAACGCTCCCGTTCGAGACTTCCTCCTTGTTTACTCAGGGCCGGTGCTCTTGCTCGCCGCCGCAAGCAGCCGTCTCAACAAAACCAGCGATCCCGCTCGAGACTTCCTCCCATTTTACCTTGGACAGGCGCGCTACTCTTTCTCTCATCGGCGCCGCCCCCCAGCAACAACAACGCTCCCGCTCGAGACTTCCTCCCTTTTTTGCTCAAGGTGGTGCTCTTGCTCGCCGCCGACAGCCGCCGTCCCGACAAAACCAGCGCTCCCGCCCGAGAATTCCTCCTGTTTTACGCTGGATTGGCGCCCTTTTTTCCTCCTCCTCCTCCTCCTCCTCCTCCTCCCTCCTCCCCCCTCCCTCCTCTTCCTCCCTCTTCCTTCCTCCACCCCCCTTCTTCTCCCTCCTCCCTCCTCCCTCCTCCTTCTCTCTTTCCTCCCTCCTCCCTCCCCCCTTCTTCTCCCTCTCCTCCTCCTCCTCCTCCTCCTCGTCTCCTCCTCGTGTCCTATCTCCTCCTCCTCCTCCTCCTCCTCCTCCTCCTCCTTTCCCCTCTCTCTTCCTCCCTCTTCCTCCCTCTTTCTCCCTCCTCTCTCCTCCCTTTCCCCCCTTCTTTCCTCCCTCCTCCCTCCTCCTCCCTCCTCCTTTCCCTTTTCGTCCCCCTTGTCTCCTCCCTCCTCCTGCCTCCCTCCTCCCTCCTTCCTTCCCCTTCCGTCCTCCCTCGTCGCTCCTGTTTGATACTTCCTCACCTTTTACTCAAGACTGGGGCCCTCGTTTCGGCATCGCCTCTGGGGGGCTTCCAAGAGTCCCTGTTGAACCTTTACATTTAAATAACTATCATTTTTGGAGGGCATAGATAATGTGGATGAGGAGGAGGAGGAGGACGGATGACTTCCAGGGACTCCAAGGATCGAGGGTCGAAGGGTTGACTTGAGGGATTCCTTGAGAGGCTGTGGAAGGGGCAGGCGGAGGATGCGAGCATGGGGGCGGCAGCGCCTGGGGGCGTGAACGTTCAGGATCGCGCGCCGCGGCCGCAGGACGGTGGCGTAACAGTTCGAAGAACGAGGAGTGAGAACCACCTCGTCCTCGGAGGTACTGCTACTACAACTACTCCTCCTTCCTCCCCCTCCTCCTCCTCCTCCTCCCTCCTCCTCCTCCTACTCCTCCTCCTCTCCCTCTTCCTCTCTCTTATCTTCCCTTCCCTCCTCGTTTTTCCTCCTCCTCCGAGGTGCGGGGCGTGCGCAAGGCGATTGCGATGGCGATGTGCCGTCCGAGCTGTGGATATCGAAGTTCCTTGGAAGAGGTGGTGACAATCTTTTCCTGGGCGGGAGATCTGGGCGAGGGAATATCGGACCCCGCGTGCCAGACGCATCCCCCATAGTGGGGTGTGGTATCCAGAAGGGTGCATGTGACACGTGGAAGCATGGCGCATGATGGTAACGTTATTGTTGTTGCTGCTGCTGTTGTTGTTGTTGGTGCTGCTGTTGTTGTTGTTGTTGTTGTTGTTGTTGTTGTTGTTGTTGTTGTTGTTGAGAATCTATGCAGGTAATCCCCCCTCTTGTGACAGTATTGTTTTTTTCCAATTGAAGTGCTTCCCCTGCGCTTTATTTTCTTATCAGGGAAACTCACTCGGGTCAAACTGCGTTGTTGGCCTCCGGATTACGACAGCAACGGCTCCCGCCTGAGACAGCCTTTCAATGTAGCCAGGTCCCCCGTCCCCGCCTGAGATTTGCTCGCATTTTATGCAGGAATCACGCTCTCGCTCGGGACATCCTTATCATTTATTCAGGAATCGCTCCCTCGACGCTCTGGAGTCGTTCTCTCGCAGGAGACTTGCTAGCAATTTATTCAAGAATCGCGCTCTTGCGTTGGAGTTCCCTGCAATTTGCTCAAGCGCCGCGCTCCCGACACTCAGGCACCCAGGAGTCGCGTTCACGCTTGGGACTCCTTTGCAGCTTATCGGGGAATCGGGATCTCGCTGTCCTTCGTGGCCCCGTTGCAGCCCTTCTTGGCCCGCTTGCTGCCCTTCGTGGCCCCGTTGCAGCCTTTCGTGGCCCCCTCGCTGCCCTTCGTGGCCCCGTTGTAGCCCTTCGTGGCCCCCTCGCTGCCCTTCGTGGCCCCGTTGCAGCCCTTCGTGGCCCCCTCCCTTCCCTCCGTGGCCCCGTTGCAGCCCTTCGTGGCCCCCTCGCTTCCCTTCGTGGCCCCGTTGCAGCTCTTCGTGGCCCCTTCGTGGCCCCGTTGCAGCCCTTGGTGTCCCCCTTGCTGCCCTTCGTGGCCCCGTTGCAGCCTTTCGTGGCTCCCTCGCTGCCCTTCGTGGCTCCGTTGCAGCCCTTCCTGGCCCCCTCGTTGCCCTTCGTGGCCCCATGTATGTATGCCCTTCGTGGCCCCCGCTCGTTCGCGCCCGTCGTGGTTTTATATGCATGCGCTTCGTGGCTTTGCTGTCGCCCTTCGTGTCCCCCTTGCTGCCCTTCGTGGCCCCGTTGCCGCCGTCAGTGGCCCCGTCATTGCCCTCTGCGGCCTAATATATATACGCATGCCCTTCGTGGCCCCCGTGCGCCCGTCGTGGCCCCAAAGGCATGCGCTTCGTGGCCCCGCCTTTTGTGGCCCCCTCGCTGCCCTACGTAACCGCGTTGCTACCCTCAGTGGCTCGGTCGTTGCCCTCTGTGGCGCCCGCATTATCTGGCCTTTGTGGCCCCCGCTCGTTCGCGCCTTTCGTGGTCCCATACGCGTGCCCTTCGTGTCCCCGGTGTCGCCCTTCGTGGTCCCCTTCCTGCCCTTCGTGGCCCCGCTGTCGCTCTCGCTCTCGCTCTCGCTCTCGCTTTCGCTCGTTGTCGTCGTCGTCGCCGTCGTCGTCGTCGTCGCCGTCGTCGTGGTTGGTCCCCTGTCCGTCCCTCTTGGGGTAGGGTTGCCGCCGATCCGCGTTGCCGCTGGCCAGGCCGACGGTCCGCGGCCGCCCTGCCGCTTGCGGGGGCCCGGCCTGCAGGGAAGGAATATGTACCCCCCAAAAGGGGTACGGTCGAAGACGAAGAGGGCGGATGTCGAGGCTTGGGGAAATACGCGTTGAATGATATTCGAGCAGATAAATGTGAACAGTCTCAAAATGATTGATGCTGTGGTTGAAGTTGTTCTTGTTGTTGTTGTGGTTTATAATGGTATGGCTGCTGTTGCTGCTGTTATTGCTGCTGCTGTTGTTGTTCTTGTTGTTGTTGTTGTCGTCCATATTGTTAGTATTGTCGCCATTATTATCATTATTCGTATTCGTATCGCTCTTCTTCTTCTGCGTTTTCATTGTCTTCTTATTCCACTTCCCAGTACGTCTATCAATATGACTGTTTTCCCCATTCTTATTATTTCGTGTTAGTAAAATCATCACTGTTTACTGTTCATTGTTTTCTGCTCTTACCCATGTATTACTTTACTATTTGTATTTTATTCATTGTCTGCTTATTCTGACCCGTTGTTAGCATCCTCATCATTGTTATCATGACCATGCTGTTTATTGTGACTCTTATCATTATTAGTATCGTTACTACTCTTACGCTTATTGTTTGAATATTGATAATATCAATGCTCTTTATGCGTGTATGTATGTATGTATGTATGTATGTATGCATGCATGCATGCATGCATGTATGTATGTATGTATGTATGCATCTATGTATTTATGTACTATTATTGTTCGTATCCCCAATCGTTTCTTCTTTCCCTTATGATTATTGTTATTCGTAATAGTAATCATGCGCATGTTCATAGACACCAGAGTGACTTTGATAAAGGCGGCTCATCAGACTATCATTATCAAGCGCCTGAGTAGGGCAACCTCCCCAGGCCAGCCTTCCAAAGGGACCCGGGACACTAAAAACCATCAGGGGACGAGGAGTGGGCAAGGGAGCAGGAGGGAAGGGAAAGAGAGAGAACGGGAGGGAGGAGGAGGGAACAGGAGGGAGGGAAGGGAACAGGAGTAGACAGGGGGACAGCAGGGAGCAGGAGGAGGGAAAGCGAGAGAGAGAGAGAGAGAGAACGTTCCGGCCCTCCTCCGCACTCCGGGGGCGTGCGACGGGCGCGGCAGGGCGGGGGCCGGACGGGGAGGCTTGCCTGAAGCACCGCGCCCGCGGGATACCAGAGCAGGGACGGGGGCAGGATGCGCTCCCGTGAGGGCCCGGCGGGGCGCCCGGGGGATACCAGCCCTGTTCGAGGTTCGCGGGTCGGTGCCCTCAAGGCTTCGTGGTTTCCGTGGCGCGCTCGCGGCCACGACGTCCTCGGTGGGGGCTCCCTCTGCACGGCACTGGCAGAGAGGCAGGCTCTCAAAGTTGGCGGGCCTCGAGCGGGTGTGGCATGCACGCGCCCCTCTCCAGGCCCAACCTGGGGGTACGGGCTTGCCGCTCGCACGTAGCCGCCGACGTGGGCCAGTGAAAGAGCGTGCTGGTAAGAGGGATCCGCCACAAATGTTGATTGGCCTGTTTTCCACCACCACCACCATAAGTTGGAGGGGGGGGGGGTCCTCCTCCTCCTCTTCTTCGTCCTCCTTCTCCTCGTCCTCCTCCTCCTCCCCCCTCCAACTTATGGTGGTGGTGGTGGTGGAAAACACGCCCATCAAATGTGGAGCGGACACCGCCCGGTAGATACAGCACATGCGTGCTCAAGCAAACTCCTGTCTCCCTGCTATCAGGCCGCTGCTGCTGCTGCTGCTGGTGCCGCTGCCGTCGCATCTGCTGCGCCCTCGCGAGTGCATCACCGGAGCCAGGCGGAGCGGATGAAGAAGCACGCAGACAAGTGGAACTTTCAGAGCACGGTCTTCGGCGGTCGCTTCATACCAGAGGCCCCTGGTATGAAATCTTGGGGCCGCAGCTTTTCTCCTCTTTCTTACGGCTCCCTGTCTCTATTCCCGTGGGCTCTTCTGTTGTCTTTCCTGGTCTTCGGCTTTTCCACTCCTCTCCTCTTCATCCTGACTTATTGCGAAGGCCTTACGGCCGATGCCGCCAACCCTGGAGACAGCGTTCTGTCATTTTTTAAACTTCTTAGGTTGCTTTGTAACTTCCTAGTTTGTTTTGTAGCTTCCTAGGAGAGTTTTTGGGGCCTCTCGGGAGCCTCTTGGGGCCTCTGTGGGCTTCCTGGAGGGCTTCTTGGGAGCTTTTCGGGGCTGAGGGCTCGAAATATCCGTTCGGGTCCCCCGTCTGGGCGCTCTCTTGGAACCGTTTTGGAGGCCTTTTGTGAATCTGGGAGGCGTCTTGGGTCGTCTTGGGGCACTTTTGGGCCGTTTGGGGACCCTCTTGGAGGCCTCTTGGGCCGTGTCGGGGCGATCTTGGGAGCCTCTTGGGCCGTCTTGGCGCGTGGGGAAGCGGAAGAGGCGAGAACGCCAAAATTCTTGAAACAACGCATGGGAAATCCATGATTTGTGCCTCTTGGGGCTCTCGTGGGAAGGGTCCTGGAGGCCTTTTGGCCATTTGACCTTCCTCCCCCCATCCCTGCCCCCTTCCCCCTCTACTTCTTGTTGCCCATCCTCCTGTTCCCTTCTTGATCAGGGGAGGGGACGGGAGGGAGGAAGGAAGAGAGAGGAGAGAACGGGGTGAGAAGGAGGGAGAGACATGAAGGACGGGGAGGGAGGGACGGAGGGGGGGAGAGCAGCGGAGCAAGGGTGAGGGAGGGACAGAACGGTGGAGATGTGGGAGAGGGATTTTTGGATTTCGACGCTGATGAAGTACGAAGAGACCCCCGCATCAGAGCGGACGGGACGCGTCGAACCGTATCAAGGAGCCCATACCCCCGAAAACTTCATGGTAACCCACTCCCTCCAAAGTAGGGTGCGATAGATAGCTCGAGGCATATCATACGCTCGGTACCCTACCCGAGCACTGTGGGGGATGGGGGGACGGAGGGAATGATAATGCCAAGAGGAAGGGAGGAAGGCTGGGACACAGACGCTATCCCTATACGACTCAGCAAGCCAATTAGGCCGCATGGACGCACCATAGGGGATCTCTACATGGAGCTCACTGCCAAGGCAGGTGCGGCCCCGTCGGCGGTGGAGAAGGTGGAATGATCTTCGCACCCACACCCAGCACCAGCGACGACAGACGGCGGCGAGCAAAGCGCCATTATCATAGCTCCCCGGCAGAAGAGGGGGAGGATTGCTGCTTCCCATTTGGCGGACACCAAGGAGAAGCAATTGACAGAAAAGTCAGGGTTGTGCACGCATGTGTCGCTCGTGGAGGGAGGAGGGGGGGAGGGAGGGAAGATGATGGATGATCATTCCCACTGCCCTACAACACCTCGTAGACAGTCGCACGGGAGCGGTCGGCGCTGCACAAGAAAGTCAGTCCACCAGGTTCCGTAAGGGTACGACAGACAATTCAATCGACGGCGGAGCGAAATGGGGAGGGGACGGGACACATGGGAATGTCCACGAGCGGCTATCCTGCGCTCTCCGGGCCCACATGAGTAGGAGACACAAAGCACAAGTAGGGCACCCCCCTCATCCTCGCATCCTCACCTGCCTCCTCCAGGCTATTATCGCTCGTTGCAGTCTCGGCTGCGAGAAGCGGCCGTGAAGTGGCGACGTGGCAAGGCAGCTCTGTAGCTGAATCCCGATGTTTCATCCGAGATAGGCTCCATCATTACGACCTTCGAAGAAACCGCAACCATAACTGAACCAGAACTGAAGCTAGAACTCGGCCAGTTCCCGTTCGAGAACGAGAGCCCGAACCGGAATTGAACCAGAACTGAAACTGGAACTCGGCCAGTTCCCGTTCGTCATCCAGATCCGGAACCGGAGCCGAACCAGAATTCAAGCCCGATTTCGATTGGTTACCGTTCGTCAGGAGAACCAGAATCATATCCGGAACTGAGCCAGAATTGAAAATGGAACTCGGGCAGTTCCCGTTAGAGAGCCAGAATCGGAACTGGATCTAAACTAGAACTGAAACCAGAGCTCGGCCAGTTCCCGTTCGTCAGAAGGAGAACCAGAGACGAAACCGGAACTGATCGAGAACTGAAGCCGGAATTCGGTCATTTCCATTTCGAGAACTAAGGCCAGAACCGAAAACGAGCAGGAGTTGAAAATCGGAATGCGGCCAGTTCCCGGTCGTCAGAAGGAGAACAAGAATCGGAACCGCATCGGAACCAGAATGGGAACCAGAGCTCGGCCAGTTCCCTTCTTAGAGAGCCAGAGCTTGACTCGGAATTGAACCAGACTTGAAGCAGGAACTCGGTCAGTTCCCGCTCGCCAGACCGGGCCAGAACTGGTTGGAGAACCAGAACTGGAACCATACCTGAACCAGGATTGAACCAGAGCGGAGCCTGCATCGGCAGCAATGTCCAGAGCGACGCGCCGTCAGCATTTGCGAAGGGCGGCCCCCCGCTCCCGCAGGGGGAGACGCATCCCGGTTGTCGTCGGCTTGCTCTCCGACACGAGCTCGAAGACCACGTCCACAAGGGCGGGTTGGTGGCCGGAGGCGCTGCAGCGGGAGCCTCGAGGGCTGAATCGCTCATCGCGCCGTCTACCGGGGACTGCGTCTCGGCACGGCGCGGCATCACGCCGTCCACCGAGGACTGCTTCTCGGCAAGGCGTGAACAAGCAAGATCAGGAGGCCCAGCGAACTCCGGCACTGGCTCTGGCTCGGCCTACCCACGATCATCGCGTCGATCTCTTTCACGGCTTCCAACTGCTGGAACTTCGTGGGCGCCTGCGGGAGCCTGCAGCCCCGGCGGGCCGCCATGTCTGGTGGCGGCGGGGCGGCATCTGCGGCAGCAGCCACGCCCTGCGCTGCCACTCCCAGCGCTTTGCCTTTGCCTTAAGCTTGGCATCTGAGGCGACAGCAGCTGCCAGGCGGCCGGAGTCGACGGCCTCTTCAGGGAGGCCTCGATCACCGGCTGCACCGTGGACACCAGGTTCACGAACGCACTGAGCAGGCCCAGGCCCAGGGCCAGGAGGGATCGCCTCTGGAGGCGCGCAAGCGGCAGGGCTGGCAGCTTTTGCAGCAGGCCCGGCGACATCTGCCGCAGCACCAGCCAGGCCCCCCCTTCCTGTCTCCCCCTGCCTCAGCAGGAGTAACCCTGGGAAGCAATCGTCGACCCCGACGCCCCCCCTCCGGCGAAAATTCATCAATTTTGCCTCTGGAAGTGATTCCCCCGGCTCCTGAATTTCGAAATGTGGCTCTCGCCTCAGCGCCGCGCACAGTAGTCGTCAAAGTTTGCAAGAGTATCACGGATTGAGGGCGGGGCCTTTTAAGAATGTGGTTTTCGCTTCAGCGTGGCGCACATTCGCTTGAAACCCTTGCAACAATTGTACGGGTGGAGGGCGTGCAGAATGTGGCTGTCGCTTTCGCGTCGCGCGCATCCGTCTTCGAGCTTTGCGCTTGGCCGGGGTTTCGTAGATGAAGGGCCAGGCCTCTGCAACTTTGCTTCTCGCCTTCGCGCCCAGCGCATACTTTGGAATCGTGTGCAAGAGCTCCATGGATGGAGGGCGGGCCAATGTTCAGGAGGAAAAGAAACACACAGACACAATTAATCCTTGACCCCCCAGAAAATATAGGAAAATATGGGAAATGGGGGGGAGACAAAAACCCAGAAAATATAGGAAAATATGGGGGATATTTTTAATTGTGTGTATTTATTTGTGTGTCCTGGGGCCCCTTCAAATGTGGTTCTCGTCTTAGCCCCGCGCGCTTTCGTTTCAAAACTTTGAGCGAGCTTCGCGGACGGAGGGCGGGTGCTTGTTCAGAATGTGGACCTCGCCTTACACTCCAGGCGATGCTTAAGAAAACCCAAGTTTTCGGCCAGAGTCTCGATTATTCTTAACGTTTCAGTGTAAATCCCAAGATTTTGATAGAAATTCTTGGTTTTTATTCAAATTCTGAGACTATGAATTTCTTAACCCATGATTTCTTAAGCATTTCGCAGGGTGTAGTGCCGCGCACGTTTGTTTTGAAGCTCGCAACAGCTTCACGGATGGAGGGTGGGCCCTTTTCAGACTGTGGCTCTCGCCTCAGCGCCGCGCACTGTTAAAGGTTCACGCTTGGAGGGCGGACCCTCTCCAGAGTGTGGTTCTCGCCTCAGCGCTGGGCGCCTTCGTTTTGAGAGTGCGCGAGTGCTCCATGGATGGAGGGCAGGTCCTCTTCAGAATGTGGTTGTCGCCTGAGAGCCGCGCGCGTACTCTTTGAGCATTTGCAGTCGCTTCACGAATGCAGGGCGTTTTTTTTCTAAGTGGTTCTTGCCTGAGCGCCGCGCATATTCGTTTCAGAAGTTTGCAAGAGCTTCGCGGATGGATATATATATATATATATACATACATATATATACATATAACATATTTTTTGGTGTTTCTTTTTTGTCAACGTGTGCTTCTTGTCGTAGCGCCGTGCGCATTCGTCCCAAGAGTTTGCAAGAGCTTCACGGATGGAGGGTATGTCCTTGTCACGCATGTGGTTCTCGCCCTAGCGCCGCGCACATCTGGAGTAAAAGTTTGCGCGAGTTTTACGGATGGGGGCAGGTCCTTTTCGTAATGCGATTTTCGCCTTAGCTCCGAACGCATTCTTTTTCCATGTCAGCCAGGGTTCCGCGGATGAGGGGCCAGTCCTTTTGCAACATGTTTTTCTCGCCTTAGCGCCTAGCGCATACTCTTAAAATGTGTGCAAGAGCTTTGCGGATGGTGGGTGGGTCCTTTTCAGAATTCGGAGGGCTTCAAGGTGAAACGCTATATTATGACACCGTGCGCTTATGCTGATGATGGCGATGATGATGATGATTCTGAGGATGACGAGGATCGTGCTGACGATGATGCTGCTGCTGATAGTGAGATGGTTGTTGTTGTTAATGATGATG